ACAACCTGTTGCAGACCTTTATCAACAACTGTCTTCGCTCTATACTGAAGATCAGATGACCGGAAAGAACAAGAACCAACAAGAAACTATGGGAACAAACAAAACAAGAAGCAATCGCCCAACAAGAAAATATGCAGGAGAAAGTGGAGATGGATTGGACACTGGCTGAGGAGGCCGCTGGCTGGGCGACATCGCGCGTCAGGCCAGTGCTCGAGTGGAAGCCGAAAGGGAAGCGGCGAGTTGGTCGTCAGTGCAAGGGTGACATGGAGGAGATCGTGTGAAGCAGAGTTGAAACAGTACAGGTGAAAAGCACAGCAGAAGAGAGAAGCAAGTGGAGACGTGTAGTTGAAGCCCTATGTTCCACTAGGAACCGAAGGGAACAATAATAAAAAGCCGTGTAAATAATGACTCATTCAGTGGTTCTCGTTACCCTGAAAAAATGGAATAAACCATCAAAGAAAACATTTCGCTGAAAAGACTAGCAACAAGAAAATCTGTAGAATTTCTATCATTCAAAAACCTAGCACCAAAATATTAAGCCGAAGTAAGTGGAGGTAAATAAGATAAACATTCATCGGACTGTTAATTGACATCTCGAAAAAAGTCACAAAGCGGAACCTGAGTGAGGAACGACGAGTCGGGTGTAGATTCGAGTGCGACATGGGAGCGACTACGTGAATCGGAGATGATGGCTTTGAGCAACAGAGGAACGAACTAAAACAGGGTGAAAAGGCTATGTGCTTCTGAAATTCCACCCGCAAACTAAGGCAATAATAATACAAGTAATAATACTAGCCCACGTGCAGACGTTCTAGCTAGAGTCATCTTAGTGCTAACAATCAACGGTTGTAAATGTACTTCTACACAAAGTAAGACACATTTGCCTTTCAGGTAGTAAGCTAACCATTTCACTCCCTTCTCTTCTCCCAAATAAATTCACATTGCTTTAACTGTTCATACAAGTGTAACTGAATGCTATATAGATTCAAAGCAGTATAATTATGGCAAGGAGGGAGGGTGATCCTGAGTGGGTTATCAATACAAACCTAGGGTGTTTATTTATGATTTATATGCATATCGCTTACCATACATCTCTCATTCCAATCTTTGATAAGCATGTTAAGAAATTAGGAAAATGTTACATGAGAACATTAATTTCCTGTCAACACATGAGATGGTTTAACAAACTCTAAAATTTATCATGTATACCTCAAGCCGTTGTCATTGTCCTCACTCCTTTTGCGTTCTGAGTGGAGTGCACAGCTTCAGACCTTGTTGGAAGTTTCACAAATATCTGGTGTTTGTTTTTTAACGTGGTAGAATCGCAAACTCAAGATAATAATGACGATGGTAATGATAATAATAATGTTTATCAACAACCGATAAAAGCCCTGTCCAAACATTAGACAATAAAAATAAAAACTATTTGAAATAAGCTGACGAAATCGCGACAAATTAGAAAGGAAGACCAATGGTGAATCGAATCTAACCGACCTCTTCCATCTCGAATTTATGGTGGATCGAAAATGCACAAACCAAAAAACCCTCTCCAACCAATCCGCCAACTACAAGGAACACAACTTCTCTCTCACAAGCCTGACATATCTGACAGAATATCTTGTGAACATTCTGTTGATTCGCCGACCCGATTTCTATAAACAGTCGAAAACACTAAAGTAGACGACAATGAAAGCATAGCACCATCTGATGGCTCAGTAGTATACACTTCAATTGGATACAAGCTGACAGAGGAAACAACACAGCAACTACGCAATCATAGTGATGAGCACACTCTTCGCGCTGAATGGAACTCAAGAATTTACAATTTGTGACATATTTTCAATTCGATAAGCAGATATACCGACAGATAAAAGCACACCGATGGGATAGCCGATATCGGAAGTGATTGCTGTAACAGTTATGCTGAGACTATAAATGATGATGATAAATGTGTCACAGTTAGAGAAAATGAGTTAGAATATGCCAACAAATAATTCGAAAACGTATTTGAAGACAATAAATTCACAAGAGAAGAGGAATCAGATATCTTAATCGAGAGAAGAAATGCATGACATCAGGAGAAGACATAAGTACACAGGATATCAAGTCACACACACACACTGATCAAATACTCAACTGCAACAGTAATATTCGAGTGGATCATAAAACAAACTGTGGACAAAATGTTGTTCGACTGGGTTGAAACACAGTGTAGCACTACTGTTCTGATTGGAATAGAATGGTTTAGAAATATTTGCTAACAGTCTTCATATAACATAGATACACCTGTAATTTCAATAAAAAATGTCTAGACTCGAATCAAAGAAACCCCCTTCAGACACCACAAGAAACCCTATTCAAAAATATCTTTGAAGAATGTTTCTAAAGCAATGCTGCTTGAATACTTAAACCATTCAGATCGACTATCGCACACTAGCCAAGAAAATTATGTTTGCGAAGGTGATTCTGACTAGGCTGTCACTACAAACTAAAGATGTTGGTTCACAATTTTACTTCAAATGATTCATCAGGTAGGTATCTTTAGTGTTTGTCAAGCATATCAAGAAATTAGTCAAATTTTACATGTGAACACCAGTTTTGTGTCGAATCTTCTCATAGTTTTAGAAACCTGAAACTTATCACATACCTCTCAATTTGTTATACTCTTTTGACTGCTTGAATTTCCTGTTGAGTGATTTTGTTTTTATGACATGTGGTGGCGTAACTGGTCGCACACGCCATCATTTTGCTTGTCTTCTAAGCTTACTAGTGGCTAGTTATTCAGGCGGAATTCAGGAGTGAATTTTCTGTGAATTGAAACTATTCACGATGAATTATTAAAATTAAATTAATTAATTTATTATAATTGTATTAGGTTAGACAGAACACCTTCTTAGAAATCATTAGGATATGAGATGTCCAAGTAAGGTCGGAAGATAGAACTAGACCGATGTATTTTGCATTAGACTTAGTTTCAATTTTAGTCCCCTCAATGCAACAGGCTTCATTAGAACTTACTAGTGTTTGTAGATCTCGTTTATGCCTACGGGAGAGATCTACAAACACTAGTAAGTGAGAAACCTAAACAATCTGGAATCACCCAACCTCTACTTTCACAATTTGTCAACTCTTGTATCTTACCTATTCTACTTTACTGCTCCCCGTTAGTCTTTCTTGGTCTACTGAAAAAGGACTATACCATCTTGAGAAGGATGTTGAAGGTAGTTAGTAGGACTCTGTAAGCTCATCACTACATTAGTTGAAAGGCATCTGAGTACATGCGAAAAATGGTCTAAAACCATACTCTCTGACCCCCAACACCCCCTCTATTTCCAACTCTCGCCTTGTATCTCATCAAGTAGAACCAGAAATCAGTATAAAATAATCTATGCTCGTACAACCACGTACAGGAACTCAACGATACCATACTTGGCCCGTGTTCTTAATGACAGAGACAATGTTAAGCGCGAAATCTATGACTTGCTTTGTTGTTAATAACATAATTTTAGGCTCTTTTATTTCTCTCTTATTTTGTATTCTATAGTGAACTCCTTCTTAAGCATACTTAGCTACCTAAATTATTAACATTGGCTCCCTTTTTTGTACTTTACTGTATTCCTTCTTTTGTGTATCCACTGGTTTCGACTATATTAGCACTATGAGTAGTACAAAATTGTCCTCTAATTAACCATCATGTAATTATTAGTTTTTGTGGTTTTTTATTTTTTATCGGCAATATTAAATGACAATCTTGGTTGTGAACGCCAGTATCACCACCTTAAAATTTTGTATTATGCAGGATTACTCACACTACCACTACAAACACCGCATTAGACCTGACAATAAAAACAAAACAACAACCCTGAAATGTTACTTTATGATTGTTTAGAGTTGTTTCAACCAAATTAACTGATCAACTTGGCGATAAACATTCTTAAATATCATTTTATAACTTCTTGTATGACTATAGCTTTACTGTCACCATGCATAATCACATCATAGCTTCCACTACCCAATACTAAGTTATTATTGTATGCTGTTTATCTTCCTTTCTAATTGTTGGTATTTTTTCGCATCTTTTTAAAATTACTTTTGTGTTTTCCGTGTTTGTTTTTTTTGCTGTTGGTGTCTTTATATTTATTTTTTTTGAAATACTCCTTTAAAACGTTGGATAAAATTAGATGCAAATATTGTAGATATGTGCTGAAAATTCCACACTGTACCACTAGTACTGTTCCTGGAATAAAGCAAATTATTATTATTAAATTCAGCAAGCACTAGTTACCATCAATAGGAGAATTCTGAAGCAAGTTGTCAATTTAACCTGCCTGGTTGACTAGAATCTTTCCGATCTTGGTAAGGTTACATACCCGAGAATGTCAAAACAAGTAACAATCGGATTGGAAAGACATGAGAGGTGTTTATTCCTCCGAAACCGATGTGGAGATCAACAGGTATTAGTGTATTGAACAAGATCCGGATATTTAGCACTGATATCAGGTCAGTCAGTGCTTCTTTCTAATTCAGGATGTGGGTCCATGCGTCAGCAGAATCATTTTCAACAGGCTATTACAGACTTTCACAGGCATTTGTGTCCGCCTTGCCTGAACCTCAGGTGGTCATCCAGGAATGACAACGTAGAAACAAAGAATTATGGAAGGCAATGAACTAACAAATATCCCAATAGAAATTAGTACGGATGGAGTGAATATTCTTTGACGAGACATTCAAATGACAGCCCTTGGCAGCTCCTGTAGCCAAATTAATGAGTTGGGTATCTGATGGGGTGAGGCATGGAGAAGACCGTACAAATAGGAAATGTAGTCCTTGTAGGCAGTCACCATTAACCCAAGTATAAAAATCACATCAGAGTAAAACGTTCAGACTAATACTTGATCGCCAGACATTTTATTCCACTTGTAACCGAATTAATGTGTTACGGATATTACTGAAACTACTCATCGATTTTTCCATAGCATATTTATGGGTTGTTAACTTACTTGAAAATTAAGACATGGTATATTATAACGTTTTTGTAATATTTGTGTATAGAAATAATTTCCCCATGGTTTCGGCATATCAGATAAAGTTCCATCCATGCTTACTGATAGATATATCCCTTGATGTCCATTCTGTTCAGCAATAAAACCAAACATATCCTCTGCGCTGCCGACATTAAATCTCCAATGAGGTATACTCGAACGTACAAGTGACTGGAGGAAAATCTCCTCAGCATCGGCTTCATCAATACTACTGAATAGATCTTTCGGTATCTGATTCGCTGTAGAAAGATTTCTAGCCCAGCTGACATAGTGATTCCACAGTGTTTGTCTTTCTTGTGTATTTAAATTATACGGTGCCATAGCATTACAGAAAGTGATATCTGGCCATACAAATTCTTCATGATCCTCATGGTAACTGGTCAAAACTGGTCGTGATAAATAATGCGCTACAACATACGATAGATTAGTCAGAAAACCGGTTAACCCGGCTAACCATAAAGCGAACCATATTAGCCGAACAATATTATTCGATGACGTTGAGATATGCGGTAATCCGTGGATTGTACTGTGTTGGAGTAGGCGGAAAATGGTTTTTCGAAGTTGGTGAGGACTGTTCAAGTTATTTTTATTATTAATATTATTAGCGGTATTGTTAATAGTAGTAGTAGTGTTATTATTTATTCCATTGATTTGTATCCTTTCCAATCTCTCTTTATGTCTAGTTGGTGGCATCAGTAAATGCTTCTCCCTTGATATATTTTTCTAATCTACTTATGAGTAGTTAGATACATATCCAAAATTATAAGGAATTTGAGCAATAGTTGTCTATACTGAGTTATGTAATAATTGTTAATTTCAGTGTGATGATATTTAAATTATGTGCAAAGATCTGTAATATGAAAGGAAGATCTATAAAATATACACTATGTTTCTGGAGGTGGGGTGTGGGGGGTCGCATGGTGAGGGGGAAGGAAAGAAGATAACAGTCTACTAATGGTCCGTTGTGAATACACTCGATAGACTACTACTTTTAAAATTAGCACAATTATTTTTCTCTAATATGATTGGATAGTTTAAAAAAGGGGGAAGCAGGCAATGAGACAAAAGTTGATAAATTCAACCAGTGGAATGTACTGATGTGTACACACGTAATTAGGGATGCAAGTATATTTAAGCGCCTCTATAAGTAGACATTTCATCAGATTACGCAAGCATCATAATAATAATAACAATTACAGTAATAATAATAATAATAATTACAATGCTAGTTCACATACTCGGTAAGAAAATAAACAGTCTGTTACTCCAAAACAAGATAATAAATTTTCTAACCTTACCACGGAATGATATCAATTTTAGAATCTTCGAAAACCAGCAAAGAGTAATTGACAGCTGTACCATTGTAGCTTGGGACTCCCGTAATAGCCTGGACCTATTATCCAAACAAGGATCGAATCCATGGTCTCCAACTTGTTAGCTTAGCTACTGAGACGGAATCTAATGCCTATGAATTATAACTTCTGAAAGAAGAATATTCTTTTCAGTAATTTCTCCTATTCAGGTTGTTACAATTATAAAATATAATATTTGTTGTCGTTACAACAATGGCCAGTTATGCGGCAGATACATTTTTGTTTAACGTAGAATAACAGATTAGTAGTTATGGGGTGACAAAATAAATAGTCGTATTTGTGTGACAAGCGTGCTAGGCTGAATTCGATTACAAAATATTGTAAAACGGGAGACAATGGTGGGGATTAATCATAATAGATTTGTAGAGTGTGGGGTAGGAAAATTGGCAAGTTAGTCAGTTCAAGGTTATGAAAGGTATCAGGCGGGTGAGTGGCTAGTACAAAGTGGTCTGTGTTAAACAGGAAATAGTAAGACTGCAATGAGAGGTTCATCATGAAATAACGAATGTGCGAGCGAAGACAGCTGTTGATAAAGGTCTGCAACTGGCTGTTGGAAATACTCTTTGCAACTCATCACGTTTTTGATCCGTATAGAAGAACTGACTGACTTGAAGTTTGTATTGAAAATCCGAATTTTGTTGTTGATGTTGAGTGACGAAGATTTCCAGATTGGTTTCAGGTTGATGAATGTGTTTCTCGCCTTCCCGATTCTCAATTTGACATCGTCGTCCGTTCCTCCTGTAGTTGAGACAATGCTCCCTCCCTAGATAAGTGAATGAAGTAACCTCTTTCACATCCATCCCGTTGATGGTGATTGGCACTGGATGTTGCTGTTGTTGTTGTTGGTTGGTTATTTTCATAACCTCCGTGTTGTCTATGTTCACCTGCAGCCCTGTCTTCTCTGGCTGCTTCTTTGACCAGTTTGTCGGTTTTCGCTTGTAAGTCTTCGATTTTGCGTGACATCAAACATAAATCATCCACACGCGAAATCCAGGGGTTATAGGTTCTTCACGTCAGTCCAGGATTTCCCTGTCTTCTCGTTTCCCACTGTCTGACGTATAATCCAGTCCACCACAATTAAGAATATAATTGGTATTTTTAATATATTTATGCATTGAAGTCTCTATAGCAATATGGTTAAATTTTGGGAGTGGAGTTGTTGGCATCACGTCCCAACCCTCCCTCTTTATCCGAGCTTGGGACCGGCTAGAAAACTAGCGAGCTAGTAATCTAGGCGAGGTTGTACACAGAGTTTACCATTCAATAATTCAGGGAAGTAAAACTGCCACTAAGGCGATGGTAGTGAAAGAGATTTTCAAAACTGTTTCTGAGTACAAAGTTCAGCCATTACCTTATGAATTGTTAAACCTTCGTCTGATTGAAGAATACGTGGTGGGTAACAGTTATCTGAGCCATTTCAGCTGACTTTATGTATCACACTTAGTAAGGCCCCCACCTAATGATGGATGACGAGAAATGTGATAATGTACTTCAGAATTGAGCTGTTCACAGTTTTACGTTCTCCTTTCGACAACTGTGCCTCTAGGTGTTTTCTTAAGCGTGTATAGACAATGTTCCTCTGGTATATCCCGTATACTTAGCTGGACATTAAAGTTATGAGTAGCTGTGTGTTTGTCTTTGACGTTTTAATGAACGAGAGCATATGTAGAAAAGGTGAGGTAGAGAGATGCAAGAAAGAATGGTCTTCGAACTGCTGTCTAAAGACAGCTTCAGAGAGCTTCACTTATAATATCCCCTTTTTTGGATTTCAGACTTACAATTAGTTGCTTCTTCGACATATTCAGGTTTATAAAACACAAAATAATCGAGCAAAGAATATTCTTCTCAATAAATTCCTCTTCCGGCTCTACAATTATATATATGTTTATATACACAGAATATTCTAGAATAGTAGTCAATAACAATATTAGGGTTTTTTAAATAATATCGATTTGTAAAGTATGATCACAATGGAATTACAGTTTATTAAAGATGCTTAAATTATAATAATAATAATAATAATAAAGATATACTAGTGAATTGAATATCAACTAAAATTAGGGAAATTCCACAAAACTTCTGGATCATTCAAACCTGGATGGCCAAGGTAATGATAATGACTGAACTAACGGTTGCTAAGTGAGAATCGTTATCCTGAAAAGTTTATTGATAAGAATATGAATCTAAGACCAAAACAGTCCAAGTTACCAACAGTTACAAAAAGGCCTTATTCTTACAGATGCAGTTCCTAGGCGAAAACACCAGTGACATAATAACACAGCGCCTTAGAAATGCGATAAAAGAGCATTCCCTGCTGCCGAATTACGATGTATCTTTAAAACCACTCCTCTTCTGCGTTCAGGAATAAAAGACAAACTGCCTTATTTCGCCTCTTCCATGTGTATATACTAATATAACTGTTCTTGTGGAGTGAGCCAGTTACGAAGGTCGTACAATTAGACGTGTTTCTCGTCGAATTTCCGAACATCACCCTGTGTGGCTGGTTAAGCAAAAGACAAACAAAATCTATTCGCAGTGCTATTCTGTCTCATCTTGTGGAGACAGAACACAAGATTGACGTTAATCATGCTTTCAGGGTCATTTACCGCATACCTATGGAACTCAATTTTGCTTTAAGAGCTCGACTACTAAATATTGCTGAGGCTGTTGGGATCCATATTAACAAGCCTAATTTATGCATCCAAAAGAAGTTGGTTAGTACAGTCATTATCATTACCTTGGCCATCCAGGTTTGAATGATCCAGAAGTTTTGTGGAATTTCCCTAATTTTAGTTGATATTCAATTCACTAGTATATCTTTATTATTATTATTATAATTTAAGCATCTTTAATAAACTGTAATTCCATTGTGATCATACTTTACAAATCGATATTATTTAAAAAACCCTAATATTGTTATTGACTACTATTCTAGAATATTCTGTGTATATAAACATATATATAATTGTAGAGCCGGAAGAGGAATTTATCGAAAAGAATATTCTTTGCTCGATTATTTTGTGTTTTATAGATATCTGAATGAATATATTTGATTTATATTTAGGTTTACAGGATCATCCGGTTATCTCTGTAGTTGTTTGGTATTATTGTTTTGTCGCATAGACTATTAAATAGTTCCAAACTATGATGCGGCGGCTGGTATTCAGTGACCTCATATGGGTGTTGTTTCGTTATGTAGTCTACATTGCAATAAATCCAATGTTCGATTTTTACCAAAATAGGAATTGTCCAGTCTAGATTAAATGCACTGATGAAGAGTTCCTATAAATTTAATTGGCTACAATAGATTCCTGGGCAACACCACCAACAGCAACAACAACAGACAACAATCAGCATAAATGGAAGGGACCTGAATGAAACAACCTCTTTTACCAACATGGGAAACATCGTTTCAACTACAGGCGGAACTGACGAGGATATCAAAGCAAGAATCGGAAAAGCGAGACATGCTTTCACTACTCTCAAGTCTGTGTGGAGGTCAACGAATCTCAGCATCAAATAAAAGATCAGGATTTTCAATTCCAATGTGAAGTCAGTCAGTGCCACTTACTATACAGATCAGAGACTTGCACTGCGCGTCATAAAGAGCATCTCAAACAAACTACAGACCTTCATCGACAGTCAGTTGTCTTCGCTCAATACTACTCAAGATCAGATGGCCGGTCGGAGAAGATCAGCAACAGAGACGGATCTCTGGCAATGAGCGAACTAGCACAGCAGGAACCAGCCGATTGTGAAACAAATAGGCAGGAAGAAATGGAGATGGACTGGCTGGCCATACTCTGAGGAAACCCACCATCAAGTGAGTGACATCACTAGACAAGCCATTGCTCGAGTGGAAACCGAAAGGGAAGCGAGGGTGACTTGGGGGAAATCATGTGAATAGGAGATGAAAGCGTGTGGGGAGACTTGGAGTAAGGTGAAAACTGTAGCAGAGAACCGAAGGCAATGGAGACGCACGGCTGAAGCCCTATGTTCTTCTAGGAATTAAAGGAAACAATCACAATAATAATAGACGATTAACAGAATTCCAAGTTTCATTTTCAAGTCTGTCTCCAACCCCCCCACACACACATTCATAAATGTATCTAGACGCTTTTAATTAATTTGGAATGTTGTCATATACATGCAAAAAAAGGTGCATGTTGATTTTTTCAAAATTGTGGAGAACAGGTGTGTTTATAGTTAAACAAAATAGATTCTTCTTACTAATACTACTTTATTTAATAGATAAGAGGTAGAATTCAAGTGATTCTATTCACAATTGTGTCATTACAAAAGTAACAGTATCACTATTAT